CGTTGAAAAAAAAAAAAAAATTTTTTTTTTAAAAAGTAAATAAACATTAAAAAAAAAAATGAAAAAACGTATTTGCTGTGTTGCTTTAATGTGCATCAGGAAAAATCACTAGCACACATCAAACCTTTGATTTCAAATTAGAATTATGTAGAGTAAGACAAATTTGAAAACAAGAGTAAATATGAAGAAATAACGTAGGGAGCACAGGAATATGGCAAAAGCCACCAAGTAGCACGCAAGTGACTGAAATTTGGGAATCACCGTCTTAATGGGCCACTTTGATAATCTGCTCTCCTTGTGAAACACTGACTTAGCTGCAGAATCAGTTCTTCTCCTTTGCTACTCAGATCAGAACGTATCTTTGTTCGAAACCCCCAGTGGCATCCCCGTCGCCTACAAACTAAAACTCCACACCTGAGTCCTGCACACGCCTGCCCCTACTGTCTACATCTACCTCTACAGCTACGTCCTTCCTGTCTCTATCTATGCCTCTACTCCTCTGCTGGTCCTTGACCAAAATGCTCAATATCCACTATCCCTCAATCAAATCTGTTTGCCAGGAATCCAATTTTTTAGAACCCGGTAGAAATGAAAAAGCAAGTTTTAGCATGTTTATTACCTACTATGTGCCTCGTTCTGTGAGTCTCTCCTTACCATCCCACTGGAACCAACCTCGTCCCCTTTGAATTCCCACAGTTTGGTATTTGTGGCTGAGCCACAGATCATCTGTAGCTTCATATATGTTCTCTCTCTACTAGATTTTGGGCAACCTAAAAATAGGGATGGTGCCTCCATCTTTGATTATTTCTGTCCCGCCGTAATTCTTTGTGCCTAAAAGATACCAGTTAAGCGTTAGCTGAATAAATCAATCTATACCTTAATCCCAAAGGCTGTGTAGCAAGAAGAAATGGTATGAACAGAAAGAAACCTGAATTCAATACAACCGAAAGTTTTAGATTAGGGAAAACCTCTGCCCCGGGCTCTAACTGGCCAAAAGAAAAGCAAGTTTTAAATATATAATCTGCTGAGAAACCGAGGTGCTAAGTGAACGCCACTCAGGTGCTTAGGTAAGTACAGCTGCCTACTGCACTACCCAGGCTGAGCCATCGCGGCTGTGCAAACTGGAAGAGGAGTCTGCAAAAGGTTGTCATGTAATTCCACAACGTAAACCAGGAACAGTTTTACTAACAGAAATTTACCATTTTTATGTATGTAATAAACCATTTGAAACATGTAGGACTGGTTGTTTAGTTTTCCCAATCACAACCGTGGAACGCGTCTCATGTCCCACTACCACATGCCGGCAGGCGAACGGCAGTATATCTCGAGTGTTAGGAGGGTTTGAACGAACAAACAGAACTGCTGAAAATTCTATGGATTTCTCTGTGACTTCGGATGACCTAGTAAGTCAAGTTTGGTGGTAACACATTTGAGACCATCAGGTGTTCTGAAGATGCACCATGTGAGCCACTGAAAAAAGGGCCAAGAAAGCGTATCGGGAGGCACTGGGACCCTATCGGAGGAGGAGGAACTAACTGAAAAGGACGGGAGCCTCCAAGTAACGGAGGTGGAAGACCTCCCGCGGCCTACACGCGCCCCGCCCGGCACCTCTGCTAGCCCACCACTCCGACAGACTCCAATCACTCGAGCTTAAATGTCAAGAAAGAATAGACACACACAAAAGTGGCTTTGATTATATAAGTCAGAGGAGAGAGAGCCTACAATAGCTATTCCCCACATCACACCCCCAAGGCTCCTCCTCAGGGACAGCAGCAGCTTTGTCAGTGACACAAATGCAGGGTGGCAGGAGGCTTCCAGCAGCTTAACATTTTAATTTGGGGGGGTGGGGGGATGGGCGGAAGAATACATAAGTTGCCTTGTGCCCCCCCTACATCCTAATGCCTTGGGGACCAGCCAGGCCGACCCAAATGGAATCCAGAGCGGGAGTGGGGCGCTGGGTTCCCCGAGGAAAGAGGGCAGATCCAGAACAGAGCAGAAACGGTGATGGTTATCTGTATGAAAAAGTAAGGAGACTCTAGGTAAGAAGGACTAGCATCAATCACACAGCGATTTGGGAGAAAAGGGAAGAGAAGGCGGTAGGAAGGAGAAAAGACAGCCAGATACCACAGCCTGAGTCATTTGGCTTCTTCTCAGGGTTAGTAGGACAGATACAAAGAGGTGGATTAGCATCAAGGGTCAGGGGTCCACAGCAAACGGATGAAGTCCCCAGTAACTCTTTTTGGTGCTTTTTACCACCTGGCTTGCTCTGGGAGTTGGCTTAATTCTTTTGCTGAATTTGAGATTTCCAATCGTGGGTGTTTCTCCTGAAGTTCAATACCAGGCACAAATTACATACACACAGGAGATCTGAATTTTGTCATGCAATCAACATTAGGGCCCAAGTCACTGGCTCTCTGGGCCCTAAGTTCTTAGTTATCTGATGACACAATTCTACCTTCAGCGGTGTCCCCTCTGAGAAGACTAAATTTGAGAAGCAAATAGAAAAATCATGGTTATAATGAAGGGACTATGAACAAAAATATGCTTAAAAAAAAAAAAAAATCACACATCGATCAGGGTGCTACAACTGATTCAATATCAAATGCCACCCCAGCTTTTGCCAACAAGTAACCAGCACCAATAGTTTAAAGATAGAGTGAAGACCCCAGTTTCCAGAGGATAAAACCAAAGCACACTATGCACAGCCTGGAGCCCCCACCACCCACGAGCCAAGGCCCCAGCCCCGCTCTGCTGTCAGATAGTTACATAGAGGTCATGTCATTGAGGGCGTGGTCCAGCTCCTCGCTAATGGCCTTGTACTTCAGTTTCTGGGCATAGAGCTCATCTGGACAGGCACAGGAACACAGGGAGGAACCAGGGGACAGAGTGAAAGGTATCAGAAGCAAATGAAGAGAGGGAATCATTAGAAATTAGGAGAAGTGTGACCGTGGGTCTAATACCACAGGTTAGGAGGACATCCACCCTGGCGGCCACAACAGGCCATTTTCAGATCCTCTGCCCCCCACCCAGACCACTGGGCTTCTTGCTGCCTCTAGTCCACTGCAGTCAGGGTGGAGAACCCAGGCACGGCCGTGACTAGACATTCTTGCTGCCAAATGCACTCAAGCAGCTACCACTCCCACCCAGTTAATCCAACTGCCAACAGGGATAACACTTAATTTGATGAAAACAGAGAAAGGAGAAAGCACACATTAAGATTCAGATGATTTGGGGCTGCTTGGTGGTATGAATGGTTGTTGTCTGACTTCAGCCAGGTCACATTCAAGGTCCGTGAGTTCTGCAGCCCCGCGGCTTAGGTTTGGGGCTGACGGCTCAGAGCCTGGAGCCTGTTCCCGACGGCCTGTAAAGTCTCCTCTCTCTGCCCCTCGGGTTTGCTGCCTGTCTCTGTCCCAAAATAAAGTAAGTGAAAAAAAAAAAAGATTCAGACACTTCTCTATCTACCGATCAAGACCAGTATTCTTGGCCCCTCTGCTCTGCAGGCTGCTCCCCCAAACCCTCCCCAGGTAAGAGAATGGTGTGCTACCCAGAGCTTATGTCAGAGTTCTCAAAGCACGGCGTCCTTTCTTACAGTGCACACGGCCGCCAAAATGTGGGGACAAAGCGCATTTAGAAAGCCCCTCGGGGGGCGCCTGGGTGGCGCAGTCGGTTAGGCGTCCGACTTCAGCCAGGTCACGATCTCGCGGTCTGGGAGTTCGAGCCCCGCGTCGGGCTCTGGGCTGATGGCTCGGAGCCTGGAGCCTGTTTCTGATTCTGTGTCTCCCTCTCTCTCTGCCCCTCCCCCGTTCATGCTCTGTCTCTCTCTGTCCCAAAAATAAATAAACGTTGAAAAAAATTAAAAAAAAAAAAGAAAGCCCCTCGGACTGGCCAGCTCTGAGGCATGGACATCCCACAGCCGTGTCTCCTGGAGAGGTCGCCCACAGCTGCGGCGATGAACAGGATGGCCGAATGTAGCCGTGGGGTAATACGTGCTCTCACTGCCATCAAAGTACGGCCACCATCTCACCCCAGAGACCACCATTTCAGACCAGCCAACTGGAGGTAAATGCAGCCATGACCAGCCTCCTCCAAGAGAAGGATGCCAATTCCAGAATACTAGATAAAGTCTGACTAAAAGGAAGAGGGTGTATGTGTAAAACTCCAATTCCGGGTCTTGACCCGTTTCACCTAGCTGTGGCACAGGACAGGGCACGGGACGGGTGCCAGGTCCCCACCGACTCCCTTTGGTGCACAGGGAAGGAGGGAAGCGGTCAACGGGCAAGGTCTTCCTCTGTAGCTCTGATCCCGCTCCCAGGCTCCATACCTTCCAAGTCATCAATCGTCTTCTCCAGCTTGGCCACTGACCTCTCGGCAAACTCAGCACGGGTCTCCGCCTGGGGAAATGTGACAGCAGACGGAGTCAGAGATGAGCAAGAAGAGTTCTGTGTCTCCACCTTCTACTTGTACACCCTTCACAATCAAAGCCAGCTCGTCTAAGTCCAAGTTAGGGCCTCATACACCTCTAAATATTTTGATTCCTTCCCTAGAATTCCCTCAGCTCACCTCCTTGAGTTTATCCGTAAGAATCTTTATCTCTTCTTCGTATTTGTCTTCCTTTTGAGAGTACTGTAAGAGAAGTTGGAATGCAAGTTTCAGAGTAGAACGTACTCACACAGACAATCCTACCACCCCATCTGCCACCACATCCCCTCTTCCAGTGAAATCCTCTCAGATTTTAATGTGTGGTTGGGCCACGAGAAAAGAGCAAGGCCCATTTCTGGACAAGAGATCATTAAAATCCACAAGTCAACATCCTTAAGGCCTTGATACCCTCAAATTAGAATCCTCTGGATTTTTTACCTTTAAAATGGACCTAAGCTTTGACCTTATTCCGATCAACCCAACGAGGTCATTTTTCCTTCCTCCCGTTTAACGAGGAGGTACAGCAACACCCCAAGGCCAGCCACATGGCCGAAACAGTCCCACGTGATGCTAAAGAGGAGTCCTCTGTCTCGATCGCTTATTAGGTCTCGGATCTACTATTTGCTGACCCCACTGGTCTGCTAGAAAACTTCCGGGGACCCATGATTACTGCTATTTAGCACATCGGTATCAGCCTGAGGAGAACATGACCCCCAAGCACCTGAGACCACGAAGTGATCTGAACTAAAGCAACGAGAGCACACGGGAATTAGCGTTAATCCCGGGACGTGGATGACGAGGATGTCTCACTAGATTATGTAAGGACTGGGTTTCTCCAGTCTCTCATCAAGGGCAGGGCTGGGTGGGCCCAGGCCCCAGAGCCTGTCACTGTCACAACCAGCCCCTACCTTCTCCGCCTGAGCCTCAAGAGACTTGAGGTTGTTGGTGACATTCTTCAGCTCCTCCTCCAGCTCAGAACACTTACTGTGAATGTTTTACATACCGCAGGAGAGGAAAGGGGAAGAAGGCGAGAATAAAAAAAAAAGGGAGAGAGAGACACACAGACGTGAATTGAACCTATATGTAGAGAGAGCTGGAAGGCATACGGGGAAAAGAGAAGTTCCCAGGTCACCTGAGCAAGTGTCAGCCCTCCCTCCCCCGGACCGCAGAGCCTGACAGACGCTGGGCCCTCCTGGGCTAGGACCCAGGATGTCGGACACTAATAAAACACTTGAGAAAAATCACTACAGGAACGAGTCTACCTCGGGTGGAGGTGGGAACGTATGCCCGACCCAAATAGTCCCCCGGATCACCCCAGGGAAGGAGAGACCCTGCGCAGAGGCGTAAAGCAACTAGGAAAGAAGACATGGAAGATGGCAAGTAAGAGGAACAGAATGGAGCATTCCACGGAGAGGTGAGAAGGCACTCAACAAACCAACCAGTGGAGGGGAGGCAGCTGCAAAACAAAGAACAAAAACCAAGCCCAACGAAACCACGCCGTGCGCGTAACCTCGCCGGGGGTGGGGGCTAATGTTAGTACCTTTTCTTCAGCAGCACTCAGACACTTCAGGCTCTGGTCCATCAGTCTGATCTGCTCGTCCATCTCCCGGCAACGGCTGTTAGTGACGGTCACGGGGATCGCACAAGCCAGGTTGTGGGGAGGGAGAAAGGTCAAAAAGGACACAGCAAGAAAACAAGCAGCAAAACGAAAAAAAAAGATTGTTTTTCAAAAAATGGGAAGACAACACCGCCATGGACATGGTGTGTCATGTCTGGGAGGGGATGGAGAGGAGGCACAGATACATATGCATCAGCACTGACTTGTTACACAAGGCCCAGAAGGTGCCGACGGGGGAGCTCTTCATGTCTGCCCTCGCCCTGAGGCCCCCCCACACTGGCCACACGGTACAAAAGAGACAAATCTCGAGCCGGCACGGCCACGGCAGTGTGTCAAGGAGAAGCAGACTTCAGGTGGGAGGACCCTGTAGGGCCTGCCAGGTGACCACTCACCATCTGCTCGTTAGTCCTTATTTTCCCTCAATTTGCAAACTGCCCCTACGAGAAATAATGGAAACTCATCTGGCACCTGTCACTAGTCCAGAGTAAGAAGGGCCCGTAGCCATTCTCAGGGCCTAAAAAAAGCCCACTCTCTAGGCCCTGTTTAACAAGGTGGAAGGAACACTAGTTTATTCACATTAATGCGCAAGCCAAAGGGGAAGGGACCGAACGGGAGGGCAAGACTGGGGGAGCAAGATACTCACGACTCTGCCAGCTCAGCTCGTTCCTCTGTGCGTTCCAAGTCCCCCTCGATAATCACCAACTTCCGAGCCACCTACAGAAGACCCCGGACGGCCCAGTGAAGCAAAGAGGAAGCCATCTCCCTCCCCCGTGGCTCTTTTCAGAAATCCAAGGACGCTGGGGAGAAGGGGGAAACACGAGGCAGCCCACCTCTTCATACTTGCGGTCCGCCTCTTCCGCAATGTGCTTAGCTTCCTTGAGCTGGATTTCCTGGAGCTCCATCTTTTCTTCATCCTTTAGGGCTCGGTTCTCAATCACCTTCATGCCTCTGCCAAACGGTAAGGACAGACACGGCCCTGATGGGTCTGCCACCAGCTCCACCCTCAGGGGCCCTGAATGGCACCTTTAGAAGCCGGCCCCTCTCTACCTGCCACCCAAGAACTCCCACAGCTCCCCATCTTGGTTTGTTTTCTTTAAAACCTTTTCAAAAAAATTAGCTTTCTCTTACAAAAAAAATAACACACACTTAAGGGGTGCCCAGGTGGCTCGGTCGGTTAAGCGTCCGACTTCAGCTCAAGTCATGATCTCACAGTTGGTGAGCTGGAGCCCGCATCGGGCTCTGCACTTTCTCTCCCTCTCTCTGCCCCTCACTCACTCGTGCTCTCATTCTCTAAAGTAAGTAAGTAAATAGATAAATAAGTGAAAATTAAAATGATAATAATAATAATATACACTTAATACTCAAGGGTATGGTTTAAGGGCACAAAGTAAGCCCTTCCAGTCCTGCTCACCAGAGGAAAACTCTATTCATAAAGTTTCCAGAAATGTTTCACGAAGAGAAAACCCCAACAGAATGACACACTACCCTGTTGTGTACCAGGCCTTCCTCCCTTTCTAGAACTTGCACCCTGCTCTGTAATAGAGCGCACACAGCCACGCGACACATTCTCCCAGCAGCACGATGTCAACGTATGTCCGTCCGACAGGGCATTTTTGATTCTGAAAGCCTTCGTCTGACCCCACGCATGTCAGCACACACCTTTGTTCTGGTTTACCCCACAGCGGCAAGAAGGCAATTGACTATTTTCAACAAAGGTGAGCTGTGATTTGGTTCCCAACCCTGGGCACACATAAAAATCATCAGACCAACTTTAAAAACATCAACACCCAGGGGGCGCTTGGGGGGCTCAGTTGGTTAAAGCGTCTGCCTTCAGCTCAGGTCATTATCTCACTGTCTGTGAGTTCAAGACCCGCATTGGGCTCTTTGCTGTCTGTGCAGAGCCTGCTTCGGATCCTCTGTCCCCCACCCCCACCCCCCACTGCTTGTGCTCTCTCTCTTTCACTCTCTCTCAATATAAATAAACAAACTTAAAAAAAACACAAAAAACAAAAAATCGAAACACCATCACCACCACCCACACCCCTCTCACGATGGGCTCTAACTGAACTGGGCATAACTCCAGGCACTGCAGTATTTTTAACTCCCCAACGGTCCCCACCCCTCACCCCCATGATTCGAACGGCGAGGCCAAGGTTAAGAAAGCTTATTCAGCACCGATCGCTGGGCTCCATCTCCAGAATTTCGGACTCTTAGATCAGGGGAGGGACGGAGAGTCTGCCTGAATTTTCACCCAGCGCCAGGTGCCGTTGGGCGGGGACCTCACTTGGAGAACCACTGCTTTAGGGGAACTCGTCTCACAAATAAGGCCACGATCCACTAAGTGGAGGCCATCCTGGTGGCCCTCTTTAACAACCATTAGATCAATTTATAGGGTAACACCAATTGCAAAAGGTCACGGAGTCCAGGGAAGCCTCACTCTGTCTTGAAGTGAAATGCATTGACCTGAGTGTTGCAGGTCCCTCTGCACCCCATGCCCCACCCCACAGGCTACCCTACTCACCTCTCGCTCTCGTCAGCGGCTTTCTCGGCTTCCTCCAGTTTTTGCAGGGCAGTGGCCAGGCGCTCCTGGGCCCGGTCCAGCTCTTCTTCTACCAGCTGGATCCTACGGTTCAAGGAGGCCACCTCGGCCTCAGCCTGTGTTTGAATGAGAACGGACAGAAGTAGGACTGAGATTGGGGCTGAGCGCCAAGCAGAAGGCAGGGTCCGATGCGGCAACACCTGTCCCAGCGCAGACACGGACACCATGCACACACGCCCATCTCCCCCTTTCCCACCAGCTGACTTCGGTGCACTCCACAGGAAGAGTACTTTAAAACACAGTTCCCTGCCCAGCCCTGTGCCACACAGCACCGCCTCCCTTCTGGACTTGGGTCAAGTTCCTGAGCACACCGGTATCAGGAAAGGTGTCTGGCGAAGGGCTCCTCCCGCCTGAGCTCGGGCGTCCTGCCCTCTCTGCAGTCTGCTTTCAAGTGTCTTGTAAAGTGGAAAAATCAGAAGGGATTCGGATTATCTATTGATTTGCCGAAGTCAAACTGTTAACCCTCCAATGACCTTATTCTAATACACCAGGGGACTCACTAGCCAAGAGAACGTTTTTCACAATAACGGTCCAGACCAGAACGCAAAAGGATGCAACGCTGGGCTACCCACCCCACCCC